CTACGTGAAAAATGAATGCCATTTCTAAGTTAGTGAACTGTTGCATGTAAGCTTTAACGGAGAAGAAATCATTAGTTCTTATGCTCGCGGGTTATAGAAACATTCGAGATGCAAGAATTAGTATGTTTTTTTTTTTTTTTTTTCATCCTGCATCTCACATCCAGTAAAAGCGTACCATCACCAATCTTTGCTAAGAGGAAGGCCGCAAATTTTTGCTCTGTTCATTTGCATGGAATGAATCACAAAACTCGACGCTAGTTTTGTGAATGAATTAGCAGTTTTTGTTGCAAGCACACTTGTATCTAAGTCGAAAAAGTAGCTTGTTATGAGGAAGTGGACTTCTTTTCAGTGCAGCTTGCGCTTATTGCCGTTTGGTCGTCCGCTGAGTTATGATTATTGTCTGAGAAACGTAACAGAACCCGTCTTTTACAGATCTTAAGAGGAGTGTAAACGGCGATCCGTGGGCTAAACAGTTTCATTTCGCTCACTGCCAAGTCTATGTTCCCTCAGAGAAGTCTGGTTTCACTGCGTATTAGTCACGTCAACAACTGTTCGCCATCGAGATTAATTTTCACATTTATGCAAATTTTATTATCATTTGTCCAGCAGTAGCAGTTTTAACCACCTTTGCCTTTTGTTCCTGTTGAAGTTTTATAGTCGAGACACTGGATAAGTTTTATCGAAAAGTTCGGTGTAAAATAACGCTTATTAAAAAATACACCTGTTTATTCCTGTTTCTTGCTAGCAGTATTGATCAACAGCTGGTCAATCACATGGCAGAAAAAGAAGACGTTCCATAATTTTAAGGTTTGGACCAAAAAAGCACTCTTTCCCTTGTTTTGCTCTAGTCGCTTAAACTTGGCTATTTTAGAGCCATTTTTAATTTTTGAAAAAATTAGCATTTCAGGGTTGGTTTGTAAGTTCAACTCATTTTCTAAGTCTGTTTGGTCAAGTTCTTTTTATTTTTTAATTGTTGCGCCTCTCTGACTTAATTTTGAGCCAGTTTAGTCAATATACATTTTCCTTCTTTCAAGACGCAACAAAAAATAAATAGCGGCGCGCATCAGCGCAGCCGTGCGATCATCCATTTTGTGCAATTCCGCCCGCCAAACGATTGCCTGCTAATGATTTTCACTGCTACTGCACTTCGGTTTATGCAAAAATAGTTGAAATGTTGTATGGTTCTTAAGCTGCGGAATTCCCCACTAAAAATGTTACGCACACGAGATAATAATCCTCTATCAAAAATTTCACGGGGCCATACGTGTTACCCCGGGGGTGAGTGAAGACTGAATCTAAATTTGCGAGGTCCTACGTTGGTAAAGTAGACCACACTAAAATTTCAGATTCCCAACTTTCGCGCTCCCCGAGATTTTTCCCCGCCGAAGTTTTCACGGGGCCGTAAGTGACACTCGGACATGCGAGAAGACTGAATTTAAATTTGCGGGACTATATGTGGGCGGGGGACATTACCGTAAGATTTTAGCTTCTTAGCTTTTATGGATCACGAGACAATAATTTCCCCGCCAAAATTTCCACGGGGCCGTAAGTGATGCACGAGAGGGCGGGGAACGCTGAGTTTGAATATGAAGGGTCGTGCGTGGACAGGGGGTCTTCTATGGGCAAGGAGTCACCTTCAAATTTCAGTTTCGCAGATTCCATGTTTTCCGAGACAACAATTTACCCTCCAAAAATTTCACGAGGCCGTATATGCTTTCTAGGTGGCGTGTGGGTAAGGAACATATCCATAAAATTTCAGTTTCCTGGCTTCCGTGGTTCCCGAGATAATAACTTATCCGCAGAAATTTTCACGAGGCCGTAGGTGATACCCGAAAGATCGGAAACGCTGAATTTGAACTTTTAAGATCGTTCGTGGGTAGGGAGTCATTACTCTAAAATTTCAGCTTCCTAGATTCCGTTATTCCCGAGATAATAATTTACCCGTCAAAATTTTCACAGGGCTGTACATGTTACCCACCGGCAGGAGAAAGTTGAATTTAAATCTGGATAGCACATAGGCGGGGGACATGCCCACAAAATTTCAGCCTTCTAGCCCCCGTGGTTCGCGTGATAATAATTTTACCCGCCCAATCTTTTACAGGTCTGTACTTGTTACTCGCGGGTACGGGAAGGCTGAATTTTAATTTGCGGGGTAGCACGTAGGTGGGGAACGTTGCCCTAAATTTTCAGCTTTCTAGCTTTCGTGGTTCTCGAGTTGAAAGTTGCGGACAAGTTGCTGCGGACCCAAACACACACAGACAACCCCGTCACAACATGCGTTTTCTACTGTTGTTACGCAGCACAAAACGCATAAAAAGAGGGATGGCTGTCTTCTGATGCACGCCAGTAATAACATATATCTTTATCATTAATACTACTGCTTTCACCTAGTTAAATCAGCATGGTACGCTTGGGGCTGCTGGTGGAGGTTCATCCCGGACTGGTGGTATATATGGTGGCACAAAGATATGATCGCGTGGCAAACTGAAATATATATGTCCAAAATCAGCCGCATATTCATAGCAAAATACGCTGATGTAGTTGATGTCGTACACAGTTTGCGGGTGTGCAAGACGCACCACCAAATCGCTATTTCCTATATAATCCTTCACCAACGGACAGTGACTATAAAAATTATGCAATTTTTGTAAATCAATAACTTTTCAAAAAAAAAAATTAACTTTGTCTTTCATCTATTTTACGGACACTTGTAATTTCAATGCATTTCAAGTGAGCTCAGTTAAATTTTTTCAAAACATTACTGGCGGAGGGCGGGGTGAAAAACAGCGAAAGGAAACGGAAAAGTGGAAATCTCTAATGCTCTGGCTCTTCATCGTAGTATGGTTTTTATGCGTTTTTGCCGTGCAGCGCTAGAGCGTTGCAACAGGCAGCAAAAACGCATATTGGAA